GTCGGATTCACAGCTTCCCAGGCCCAATCTCAAAAGTACAAAAACACAGATAAAAGTAATACATGTAACATTTTTATAAATAATTACTTCATATTGATTTAACCTGGGAGGTTAAAAAACTTGCAGATACAGTCTTCAATAGCACTTTGTTGTACTTTGTCACCACCTAACTTTTACTTATGGGTATCTTTGTTCCCACTGTATTTTTAAGCAAAATAGTTCAATCTGTATCTCTTCCATAATCAATACTGAATTTATACTTTGTAGGGTAAATTCAACCTGAATCAACGCTTATAAACTTTTTTTAGTACCTAGCATTGAACTTAGAATCTTGTGCTTGCTATGCAGGCACTTATGCCGCTAAGCTATAGCCCCAGCCCCTACTTGAGGATTCATTCTTTTGTTTGTTTTTGGCTGGTCAGGCTGCCATAAGGGTGGGTCTGGTGTGGCATGTGGTGCTGGGGATCAAACTGCAGTCCCCTACCCGACTGATTTTGCCCAAGCAGGGGCTTTAGATAATTGAGCTATCCTGGTAGGCCTCTATAAGCTTTTTTGGTTCCACTCCACAGCAAGAACTGTGTACCTTATAGCAGATGCATGTGCACAGTATATGTGAGAAAGACAGAAGAAACAGGAAAAACAAGTAGGACAGTGGTGGAAAATCTTTGGCACATGTGTTGTTTGCCTTTAAGACAAAAGATGTTACTGTGTGCAGTTTTTTTTTCTAAATAAAACTTCCTAAGTATTCAGGCTTACTTGCAGTGTTCGCATGTTGTGATAATAAGTGGATTTTGAGCTGGAGTTTGGGCTCTCAGTTCTAAAAGATTCACCATCATGAGGTAAGAGAGCACAACAAAATTTCACCACCAAACCTAATCTTTATTTTGTGTGACACAGACTCACATTTTTTAGTCTATTCTACTTTTGTATCTATCTCTTGTCCTGTCTCGTTTTATAGACTGGTTTGTATCTTAACTTGAGTAATGAGTCAAGACAAAACTCTAAAAAAGCATTGATATAGTCCTTTCTCTTAATATATGGAGTATGCATGTATCCTTATGGAATAGTTCAAATTTGCTATTTTTTAAAGATCAACATTCCTACTATTTATAAAAATAAACACTGAAGATCTTTTTTATTTATTTTAATCTACTTACTTATTTTTTATATGAAGTTAGGACAGGGTCTATAGGGTGTACAGGGCCTCACTATGTAGACTGGACTCCTAGTGATCCTCCTGTTTTCAGCCTCCCAAGTGCCGGGATTACAGGAGTGTGCTACCATGCCATCTCAAATGCCACCTCAGTGCGCCCTGGGGGTGGGGCCAGCACAGCACACCAGGGATGGAACCCCGGCCACTGCACTCTGCAGAAGCAGGTACTTTAGTCTGCTGAGCAATCTGGCAGGCCCTATGTGGAGATCTTTTCAAATGATGGACAATGACCAGAGAAATATTGATTTGTACATTCACAGGTGAATTTCTAACTTTCTATCCATATAAATGGTAATACTATTAATACTTCCTGTAACGTAGATGAAAATACAACTTTAAACTTTCATTAAAGTTTATTGGAAAAAAGTAAATAAAATTAACAATACGGGCATTGCCATATATAAAGATAGTTTTAAATTCTGGTTGTATAAAATTCTAGTAATACTTTTTTAAGTCTGACCTAAAAAAAAGTAATTGTACAGAACCAGTATGTACTAATTATATTTCGGAATGTCTGACTGTCCATGTTTTCTTCCAGAAAGAAGTCAGTAAGCATTAAGATCTCCTAGGTCTCACTACCATAGTTAATTGGGTCGGAGAGAAGAAGCAACTAACTATAAAGCTAAACTAGTGGTCTCATTTAGCAGACATGAACCAAAGGCACCTTATCTCTAGGATTTAATCAAGAAATATAGAAGGTAGTCAACCAATGACCTTCAACAGCTTGAACTATATGTGTTTTAAAAATGAAAAAGTATCATTGTAATGTAGATTACTATTTCATCAGAACAATAGCTTCAAATTTAAGATCTTGTTTTTATATGCTAAGCCACCCTGGTGGACTAGGAAACTCAAACACCTGTATTGGAATGTTCAGAAAGAGCCAAGTAATCACAATACTTGGAAAATGGGGAGAAGAGAGAAATTTAAACCTTCTATTTTTCATTATAATAAAAAAAATGTAATTTTCTACAATCCTAGGTCTTATTTCTTGAAAATTTTTTACCTGATTCCTTTTCTTACCTGTTGGAAGAGGAGGGAAATCATAACTGTCAGAAGCAGAACTTACACCTGGATCATTTTTAAGTGGATTAGAAGTTAATGGCTGTCTGTTCCTTTTTTTCTGATTGAACAACGGTACAGGCAAACAGCCTACATTGAATGTACCAATAAATTAGTACATAACAGGGAAATAATTAGATATGCTTATAGAAAAATTACTAATATATGATACTGCACAATTTAATGCCAACTTCTACGTGTTACTATACTTATTGTAAGTACAGTTCTATATTCTTGAATTATTTTTTATATTCTTCTTAAAACCTTCAATAGCCTAATTTGTCTAAGAAGATCTTTCGTATTCTACCTTAACACTACTTTAGTTCCTCTTTAATTCCCATCTCCTTTCCTCACCTTCTAACTCTTCCCCAATTCACTGACCATTTATCAACTGAAGAGGGCTTATGGAGTATAACAGACAAGAAGAACTGAACTCTGAACCATGTTTTTCTAAAGTCCTAACCACTTTTGTCTTTCTTAATTTGTTGCTCTTTCCTCTTTGCTATGGTCTAAAAATTCTTGTGTTGAAAACTGACAATGTAATAAATAGTATTAGTGATGGCTTTGGCCTCATGAGTGGGATTAATGAGATTATAAAAGAGGTATGAATGAGCTACTGGGTGGTACTTTCACGCAAGAATATAATAAGAAGTGTTATCCATGAAGCAGTGAGCTTTCACTAGACACTGTGATTCAGATTATGTTTCTCAAAGTTTAGCTAAAATTTAATCTGATACAGGAAGGTTCCAAGACTATAATCCCATTATTAGAAATTTTATTTCAACAGATTTGGTCTGGAACCCAAATCTGCATTTTGCATCCTATATATCTGTCATGCTATGTTTCCATGGGCCACTTTGAAAATGCCTCAGAGAATGGTAAATATTCAATCTAAATGAGAAGAAATACAACCTCTGTTTCCTACAGATGAAAGTACCAATCCCAAGTTAGGCCAAAAATCAGAACATATAAAGCCTACAAGGAAACTCGTAGGAAAACAAAAGGCCCGAAACCTTACTCCTTTCTTAAAAGTGAGCCATTGGAAGAGCCCAGTAAGGACCTAAGCTTCCTAAATCTTAGTTCGGCTCTCTTGTCAAACTACCATTGTGCAGTTGAGCCATCACCACTACACCACACAGTATGGACTCTAAAAGCTCACTGATGAAAGCCTAGGAGAATTATGTAGACTCTTGAGTCAGACTGCTTATGTTTTAATTATTACTTCAAAGTAGCTTTGAATTACAACTTCAAAGTATAAACGTGTGCAATTTCCTTAAACTCTTTGTGCCAATAAGATATATGCTGAGAAACAAAATAACAATGATTAAGAGTATGAACTCTAAAGCCAGATTCCTGCCACTGAACAGATTACTTATTTAACCTTTTTGACATTTGGTTTCTCATCTGGAAAACAAGGATGATAATAACCTATTCTAGAGAGTGAATATGAGGATTAAATGAATTAATACGTATAATCAAATGTCTACAGAACATCTACAACAAATAATGGTTATTATTTTCATTGTGCATCATGCTCATTTTCCTGATTCTCATTCTTTCCCTCTACCCTTAGACTACCTAATAAATTTGGAAAGCAGAAATAGCAAAAGCTATCAGGACACAGAAGTGCTCTAGAAATATTGTGAACTAGTCAAGTCACAAATACAAATAAAAATGTATTTATTTTTCAATCTTAAAAGCATAGAACAACTCAAACACAGAATCTTTAGAAAGAACATAATAAATCCAAGTAAGTGTGATTTTATTTCCATTTGTACCACTGACTATTTTGCCTTGAATAAGTTACCTCCTTGGGTCTAAAAAGAATAGAAATCAAGCTAAATGTTTAATTCTTTCTAAAAGTTCCATTCAAAATGTTCTATCTATAAACTACATTGCTTTATATCATATATAATAAAGAAATTTTCAAAATAAAAGTTGTTCAATACCTGCAGTACTTCGAGTTGAATTTTCACTAAAGCTTCTCTTCATTTTCTTCAATAACAAAGTCTATAATTTTTTCTTTAGAATTCCAAATTTACAAAATGAAGTTGGTTGACTAAACCTTTACAGAAAGAAACTTGTAAGCTAAATCAACAACAAAATCATATTTTAAGCCAACTACAGAAATTATAGTTTAAAACTATTTTCAAACCTGACAAAACACTAGGAATCCTTTGCTTTCTGAGTAAGAATTTACAACATAACTCATTTTTCCAGTTGTTTAAGATATTTTTCATTTTCTTTGTCATATTAGGATTTTTAAATATAATCAATGTGCTTTGTACAGTTTATATTAAAAGTCAGTCAAGTTTGTCTAAAATGCTAATTTAGCTGTATAGCACATCTGACACTACTGTCATAAAAAGGAAAAACAAATGGATTCATGGTAACTTCTGGTCATTTGGATTCTGAGTGTGTCATATACCTACCTTTGTAAACCAAAACCATCTTTAAGAAATGTTTCCAGAGAATGTAGATTAGATTTTCCATATTATCTAACCATTTTTTCTTTTATTATAAACATAATATTGACTAAAAATAGGGGAGGGAGATAACACGAATCTAATATAGTCTTCAATATAAAAAGGACTAATGAAAATAAGCTGCCCTTTTCCCATTTTTACTTCTAAACAATGATGCCATCAATATAAATCATTAAAAGAAAACATATTACACTATGTTTTCATAAGAAGGCCTGAGTTGTTAGAGAAAGAATAGTCAAAAAAAAAAAAAGTATGAGGGTGAAAAAAGTAAGGAAAGCTCATATAATCCATTTACAATAATTTAGCTCTCCTCAAAACAAATAAAGGCTGGGGCAACTATAACCCTGTGGATTTTCACCTAGTCTATGGAATTTATTTCGGAATCAAGGGCTTACCATAAGAATTTTGAATCTATGAAGAGGAAAATGTCCTACCGGTAAACTTATAGGGAGAAAAAAAAAAAAAATACAGTATTGAACGAGTCATATGAGAATATGCTGTGTCCAGCTCTAAGATGCTGCCAGATCATCTACCGTGGCCAGTAATTTGGGACAACCAAACACTAAAATATTCACTTAATATCCAGAATAAATTCCCATTCATTTCGCCTAATGTATTTCAATCCCAATTTAGTTCAACACTTGCCCACTGCCTCAAAAACCAAAATGCAAACCTAAGACTTTGTACACTTCTGCTCCAAAGTCACCACCCAATAAGACAAACATATGAATACAACAAACACAATAATGCAATTCAAACTGAGATAAATTTACATTTCCAATTATCGCCGGTAGAAAAATTTGAGAAACATGAGGTCAGCGGTTCCTCCGCTCTGTTTCCAGATTAAGCCAGATCCAGTAGGCCCTCTAGAATACATTCATGGTGCCATTCTAGGAATCAAAATAAAAGTTGTACCACTGTTTCTTAACGCAGAAATATCAATGTAACTCCACCCTAAACCTGAAGAGACATTTCAGGGTTGTTTATAAATAGCATTCAAACGACCAAAGGAAAGCCATATTTAAAATCCGGATCCTCCCGGACCACTAAGCCAGAGGCTGAGAATGCCCATCAGCCCCACCCACCGCAGCTTCCGGTGGGACCTGAGGGGCCCCTCAATGGGGTTCGGCTCTGAGGGCAGAGTTGGCTCAAACATCCTCGTACATATCCTGCCCCGCAAACCGCTGTCCCTGTCTGAGGCCAGAAGGAACTGTTTTGGCCCTTACAGGTCGGGAAGGGGAGAAATTTCAGTCAGAGTTTATCTTCCCTTCCAAAGACTCCTCCTAGCCCACTCAAGCACTGGGAACAATTTGGTAACAAGATTCAGTGAATTGTCTCTCCCTTTTTGACAACCCACTCACCCCCTTGCCAACAAGACGCAGTTTTAACCCTAGTGTTCGCCTGCCTCCACCAACCATCAGCCCGAGAAGCCACTCAGCCACAACAGACCTCTGCGGCTCCGGCTCTGGCTCTGGCTCTGGCCCCAGCTCCCAAACATCGCGAGAATTCAAGCTGTGCGCACGCGCGTCCAAGGCGCATCTCAAACTCGCGCAGGCGCACTCAGCCTGGGCCAAGGTACACAGGTGCACAGCCACGTGAGCACGAGGACACGTGCGGTGAGATGGGCTGCGTTTTGGAGGACAGCTAGAAAGGAGGCGCTATGATCTCTCTGTCAAGAAGGAGAAAGTTTTTTGTTTTTTTAACTTTTTTATTTTATTTTGTTTTATTGAGAAACAAATATCAATGAGACAGTTTCAAAGCTGATTAATAGGACATTTTCAATAATTCATATATTGTACATTGTTATCTTCTTAGTGGTTATCCATAGTACAAGAAGCAGACTGGATATCCTGTCCAAACACTTACTACAAATCTTTCTTCTCATTGAATTAAGCCAAAGTAGCTGTATATCTATCCCAACTATTCTGTATATACAAATACAAAATGGTCGAGAAGGAGAAAGTTAGAATAAATCCCTTTGCCTTTCTACACTGTGATGTGGGGTAGAAAAGACCTTATCTCTTTAGCATTTTGACCAGAAAGAAAAAGAGCATGCTGTGTTCACCTGAGCTGGAGGCGGATCTCCAGCCCAGCTTTCCTGCACCCTGTCTGTGCCCAAAAAGTGTGGCTCTCCCTTTACAGCACTCCACGGCTATTTTTTTTTAGACTCAAACCATTACTTTCTAGGGTACTGGCAGCACTCTGAACTACTCCTGAAGAATCCATGGCCCATGGGTCGGAAAACCAAGGCCTGAGAGGGTGGCTTGGTCTGGCTGCATTTCTGAAACAAATGAGCCAGGAAATTAGGCAGAGGCAAGGCGAGTGCTGCAGGAGCTCTGGAGCAGAAGGGCATAGGAGCCATAGAGATATTCTACAAAGGAAGCAGAATGGTGTAAAGCCCCCCAGCTCTGAGCGCCAAACTTCTCGCCTGTAAGTTCTTGTCCAGGTGATTATGAGTAATTTATCCCCTATACATTTCCTTCCTCAGTAAAATAAAAGTAGCAATACAAAATTGCCTCAAAAATATTAAAAGAAAATAAAGTCTGAGTACACAGTAAGTGTTCAATAATTGTGAGCTCTTATTTCATAATAGTAGTTGCCATTTATTGTATACCTACTATAGGCCAAGTGTCATAATTCTATACTGAGTTCAAAAACCATGTTCTGTTGTTATGGTATCTTCGGGCTACTGGGAGACTGTGATACATGAATGAGGCAGAGATCTCAGCCAGAAGGAAAAATAATTAGTAAAGATCTAAGACTGTGAGACAATATATACTTGTAGTTTCCCTGAGAATTAGAGCAAAGAAGACTGTTGGAAGATACAATTAAAGGTAGGTGAAAGGAATGGAGTCATCTTTTACATTTGAAAAGGAGACTTCAAACAACAAACTCTGGAAAGACTTGTTATTCATCCCAGTTTCAGGTAGACTTATGCAAAACATGAATATAAACTTCAAGGAAACATACAGATGTATGTGGCCTGATATACACATACGTACATATATACATCCGTACATACATACATACAATACCTACCCCTTTTCCCAAAAAAGAAAAAATGGTTTTTCTTTGAGAAAACAAAAAAATGCTGTTAGGATCATTATGTCAGATTTGCTGAGCTACATCTTTAAGGAATGTAGTCATGAACAAGAGGAATCCTTTGCTAACAGTTTATAAACCTTTCTATCTATATTTTGTTCTTAAACAAAAAAAACCCTCTTTATCACTTAATCATACTATTTAGAAAAAAATTCATCTGAAGTTTGTCTCATACTAAATTTCTAACACTAGTCTACAGAATAGCCATAACTATGAAGTAAAAATCTATTCTTCTTTTATTTTAAAGTATATTGTTTTATTAACAAATCAGGCACCCACGTCTGTACAAAACATCTGTAAGTGCTGAAGTTATCACACTCTCAAGTTCTTCAAAATATTGAATTCTAAATATTGAGACAGTTACAACTAGACAAGGTTTCGTCTTGTATACTACTAGTCCTCCACACTCTCAAAAAAAATTTAATTTATATAACTGTGTCCAAAAGTAAGTCAAGTGTGCTCAAAACTCAAGTGTGGAATGACTGCATCCACCACTGCCTTTCTCCAATGAGACATCTTCCTTCTCTCATCTGCCTTTGGCCCACTATTTTAGAGACCAAATGCCATGCTTTCAATTAAGTTGCAGAGTTCTGATGAAGAAATATTTGAAATTGCCAAATAGTCTGTATAATCAAGACCATGTTGAAAGATTTGGTAATAGATGATAAAGGAGATGATGACACAGTTCCTCTACCAAATGTTAATGCAGCAGTATTAAAAAAGTTATTCAGTGGTACACCCACCACAAGGATGACCCTCCACCTCCTGAGGAGGATGAGAACAAAGAAAAGTGAACAGATGATAGCCCTGTTTGGGATAAAAAAATTCCTGAAAGTTAACCAAGGAACCCTTTTTGAACTTATTCTGGCAATAAACTACCTAGATATCAGAGGTTTTGTTGATACTACATACAAGACTGTTGTCAATAGTATCAAGAGGAAAACTCCTGAGGAGATTCACAAGACCTTTAATATCAAAAATGACTTTACTGAAAAGGAGGAAGCCCAGGTACTCAGGGAGAACCAGTGATGTGAAGAGAAGTGAAATGTGCCTGTAAGGATTGTTCCAAATACTAGTGCACTGCTTAGTTTATAATTGTTAATTTTAGACAACCAATAGACAAATGCAGCAGCAAAACAACTGTATTAGCATAATATTGTCCTCGTTGCATGTGTGGTTTACAGATTCCAAACCAATGGCTGAATTTCTTCTAGTCTGAGCAAAAGTTGCTGTTTTTCTTTACTCTGAGTAAAACTGAGCTATGGGTTCTCTGTAGAAAGTTGACATTTTGAGCTTTCCCTTTTTTTGTAAAGTGATTTCTGCCTAGGTTAACTTTCTGCCTGGACCTCTGCCTATGTCCATTTAACTTTAGTGAGCTTTTAAACGTTGATATTATAAATAAAACAACTTGCAGAAAGTTTTTTGCAATAGAATTAACAAAATATTATCTTTATTCAGAAGTTGGAAACTGGAAAAAGGCTACTTAAAGTAACTTCCAAGTGGGGTTGTTTAGAAAGTCTTCCAGCCTCCTAGAGTCAAGCAGTATCACTGGTGTATATTAGCCTGCATGTAGCAGGACTCCCTTCGTTGGACCGGAGGACTTGTCTGATTTGTTTTTAAATTTTTAATCTTCTCAGCTTTGAGTAGGTTGCCTAGAGACTCAGTAACTACTGACTCTGTGGTTTGGGGGAGAAATATAACCAGACAGTTTGTTAGCTTTTCAATTAATGACAACACTATTCATGAAAAAAAAAAAAAAAAAAACCCTCATGTGTGCTTTGGGAAACAAGGAGTTAAAATCTTTTGGAAGTTAACTTGGTATACTGAGTATGAAAAGCCTCTGTTGCTCTAGTTCTAAGGAAATACTCTCCTTTTCCTAATAAAGCTTTTGGCAGAAGACACACTCTGTACACAATAAACGAGGTGAGTATAGACAATAATTCCTGAAATTCATTAACTCTCCTATGCGTTAGTCATTTGGACATTTAACAGAAACTTGATGAATGTGAAATGTGCTTCAAAAGGCTGACCTGTTAAAACTCCATAAAACAAACTTCAAAATGCAAGTCATTTGGGCCAGCTACAAGTAAATAACTGAAGCTGCATTTCCACAGAGACTAGGGCAAAGGACAGAGAAAACTACAAATCAGCAGGAGAGAAACAAAACACAGAAGTGTTAATAAGTCACTATGGTTACTGCTCTTAAGGTAGCAATACAACTGTCATCCCTTTACCTTTATGTGTATTTTCACAATCTCTACACTGTCTGAAATGTTCAGTGTACACTGATGTGAATGTAAAATCAAAAGCTACAGGATCTTTGTCTTAAGTTAGACCAGGAATTTTAATGTACAACCCTAGATTTTGTAATTTTCTTTGTGTGTCCCTGCATTATATCCTAAAATAGGATAGAAATTGGTTTATAAAATGTTATTAAACATCCATATAGTGTGTATCCATTGAGTACTTTGCTTGTATGTTCCCTTCCTAAACACCGTACTGACAGTGAATTCTGAAAAAGCAAAACTATAACTTCAGAGAAAACCAAAAATAACCAAAAGACACCCTGTTGTCCTGTGAAAGACACTGAACTTGATCAGAAACATGAGCTTTAATCTTAATTTTCTCTTACATAGCTGAGAAAACTTAATCAGGTTACTTAACCTCTCTTTACCTCTATGATGCAGATGTCAATAGTTAACCCATTCTGTTATATAATATGGATAGATAAATAAACTGGGTAAATGTTTGTGGAAGAATATTGCAAATTAACTGCCCTGAAATTTTAATCAATCACTCTTTATGTACCCCAGCATTACTAATATATAGTATTTTCAGCACTTGAATATACTGACTTTTGGGGCAATTAAGCATGAGATAAAATCAGACTTAGAGTCATTTTCCAAAGGTCTGTAATTGTTTAGTGTTCTGGAATATTCTCCTAATAAGGCCCTGTTTGAATACATTCTGGTGGAGAGCCGCTGTTGGCAGCACATGAGGCTGTCTACACGATCTCACCTGAGGTGTTAATGTATGTAGTATGTTCCAAGATATTGTTCAGGCATTACAGAGACTTTCATGCATTACTAAGGCTTGCTTTTGCTTTGGCATTTAGGCAGGTTTCTTTGGAGGCTGACACAGAATTACCAGAAAGTTCATGAGAAAAGAAAGACGTTTCAAAGTAGCTTTTAAAGTCCAAGTGATCACTGATTGAGTTTTTGTGTCTCTGATTGTGAAAAGGCCTCCTGAAAGAGGAGGGGCTGGCTCAAGAAATGAGTATCTGCCTTTGGCTGCTTAAAGAGGAGACTTAAATGTCCTCAGATCTTGAAAAGTGCATCTTTTGGGAATTATAAATGTATAAAACCTTTTAATTATAAATAATCAGAAAAATCCCCATGGATAACATTCTAGCTAAAGGGAAAACAATCTCAGTGTTAGTAGAACAGGCTAATACATTGTTGTACTTAGTTCTACTGACCATCTGAGGGAGTTAGATGTTAACAGCTGCATCTCTAGTTGATCTTTGCATATTTTAATCCAAATACGGTAAAGGGCAGGGCTACAGAAGTTGGTGTCCGTATAATAAACAAGGCTCAGAACTTCTAATAGAAAGTTTTAAAAAGATTTCACTCAGGGGAACTCAGTACTTTACCTTTTGGTTAAATTCTCACTTAGATTTAAATTACTAAACTTTTCTTAGGAAATTAAGCTTCTTTTGATCTTCTGTCTTCTGAATTGCAGATATCAGATAAAAACTCCTGGTAAAATGACTGAAAAACCTATTAAAAAGATTGCTATCTTTGGAGGAACTCACGGGAATGAGCTAACAGGAGTATCTCTAGTTAAACACTGGCTACAGGATGGCACTGAAATTCAGAGAACAGGACTGGAAGTAAAACCATTTATCACCAACCCAAGAGCAGTGAAGAAGTGTATGAGATATATTGACTGCGACCTGAATCGTGTTTTTGACCTTGAAAATCTTGGGTAAGACTACTTTTCATATTGTGTGTGTGTGTGTGTGTGTGTGTGTGTGTGTGGCATGACTGTGGGAAAAGTGATAGGAGTGAAAGAACATATATGTGTGGATGATAAATAACCATGTTCACATGTATAATGGCTCTACGGAATAAGAGCACTTTTACTTTCAATCATGTTTAATCATGTTTGTAAATTATGCAATTATCAAAGCTGTGTATTCCCATGGTCTTTTGTAAATGATTTAACATACTACATTTCTCTTAATTGATTTGCCTTTTTCAATGTATTCTATACTAAACAGACAGAGACAATAAGAAAGATTTTTAAATCATATTTTTAAAGATACAGATTTTAACAAATTTTGTTTGGCCACTGTGATTGCACACATATGTCTTAGCTTTCTAAGAAATTCACTACTATGTTTGAAATAGTACATAAAGTTCTAGTTGAGAAAAATGTGGTGTTTCCATCCCTATTTATTGAATGAGTCAGTAAGTACCCACTGGCAGAAAACAGCAGACCACTGTGTGTGTGAAAATAGTGATGACACCATTACCATAAATGAGAATAATAAGAGCTAAAGAAACTTCCCCTGAGCTTTGACTTTGAACTGCAGCTGATTTATAATATAGCGTGTATAAGCATAATATCCTGGGTGGGCCCTTACTAATCACTTTTGCCCTTGTTTATAGCATAATAGTGACTGCTAAAAGTGCTCCTAAGCTTATCTTTTACCTAAAATTATTGTCAAACACTTGTTCTCCTGTACCAAGTACTATGAGAAGACAAAGGTGTGTGCAAGTAGTTGGTTTTTACCTTCTATGAGTTGATAGCCCACTGGCCAACATATGACACTCACAGAAACTTGCAGCTGTACAGCTTTATGTGTTCATTTTCTTATAAATGTGAATTTGAGTTAGAAAATTCCTTAGGTTTAATCTCATCCCAGAACAAAAGATGAATACTACTTTTAATACAAATATGTTCATTTTATGGAATAGACATTTTTCAGAACAATTTAAAATAGTCATAGTTGTGTATCAAATAATTTTACTAGCAGAAATTTTATTTTATGAAATGCTTTATCTTCATGACGGAGGTTATGTAACAACACAACCAACATTTATGACCTTAAAATAACTATTAACTAACCTGTACATTACAAGTAGAAATTTGCTCAAGAATAACTTTTAATCGTAATATTAACTTCCCAAATAAATTCATGTTGTGCCTCCTATTCTCAACACTATTTGGAGGCTAGACGGTTCTCTGTCAAGGTAGTTACAAAAATTTATGAGATAAACTAATTAATTTCCCCTTTCTTCTCTTAAATGTATTCCTTTCGTGTATTTTTTGTTGTTGTTTAAGATAGCGTCTCACTGTGTAGTGCAAATTGGCCTTGAACTCACTTTTGCAGTCCAGGCTAGCCTCAAACTCATGGTGATCCTCAGCCTCCCAAATGCTGAGATTACAGGTATGTGTCACCACACCTGGCTGTTTTCATATATATATATA